CGACAGAGTGCAACGTGGGCATTATCCGACTTCAGTGATGGTTTGGTGGGGTATTAGCTATGAAGGAGTGACTGAGCCATACTTTTGTGAAAAAGGTATCAAAACATCGGCACAAGTGTATCAAGATACCATTCTTGAGAAGGTAGTGAAGACCCTTAACAACACCATGTTCAATAATCAAGAATGGTCCTTCCAGCAAGACTCGGCGCCAGGTCATAAAGCTCGGTCTACGCAGTCTTGGTTGGAAACGAACGTTTCGGACTTCATCAGAGCTGAAGACTGGCCGTCGTCTAGTCCCGATCTTAATCCGCTGGATTATGATTTATGGTCAGTTTTAGAGAGTACGGCTTGCTCTAAACGCCATGATAATTTGGAGTCCCTAAAACAATCCGTACGATTTGCAGTGAAAAATTTTCCCATGGAAAGAGTGCGTGCTTCTATTGATAACTGGCCTCAACGTTTAAATGACTGTATTGCAGCCAAGGGAGACCACATCGAATAAGCTTTTTGTACTTTAAATTGTTTTATATTTATGTATTAAACTAACACACTGTAAAAGTAATAAATGTTATTTGCAATAGATTTTTTTTTCCTTTGTCTCAGTAGGTATATACCTATGGCAAGACTAGGTATATATAAACGAATCTGCATATGTACTACACGCGAATAGCTTCAGAACGCCGGCGAAAAATTGGATAATTGTTTTTTTATTGTGTTTGTGATGGTCAGGAGAAGGCACATACGGAAAAAAAATTAAGAAAATTGAGAGGCAAATTAGAAAATTTAAGAAAACTTAGCCTCGACTTAACATTAACTAAATGCGTGTTGCAAATATCAGATTTGTATAAAAGAAAATTCAATAAAATCAATGGTACCTAATAAATTTGAGTCCACGAAGCGAAGCAATGGCGGGTCGGTAGTTTTAAATAAAACTTTAATATTATATGGCTCTGTAATGGCCTATTTTAATACGCTTTTATTAGCTTCATACGTATGTTAGTATGTAACGGAATCTTTGAACATCATTTTGACCCCCTTCAAAACGTCGGATTAACTCAGAAGGCATACTTATTTTTTTTAAAGGGATTTTATGACCTGGTAACTAAGACATTTAAGTCATGTCTTATTATAATTTATATTCTTATTTTTATGAAAAATGATAATATGGATAAGATCGCCAATTGTATTTTTTTGTATTTAATGCTTCGTTTTTTTTTTGTGTACAATTATTTCATTTTTGTTACACGATGTTATTTTTACGTCGTCAAATTTGTAAGTGGATATTCGTTAATTACTTACCTACAAACACGTCATTTCGGATCCTCCCGATCCACTAACGGTGCTTTTAGGTACCTCAAGCACCGGTCACAGTTCTCGTCGAACCCATCGCTTGCGACGAAGGACTCGGCGAGTAAATTAACCCACAAACACAGCCCACTGAGTTTCTCGCCGGACATTCTCAGTGGGTCGCATTTCCGATCCGGTGGTAGATTCTACGAAAGCACCGCTCTTGCTAGGGCCAGTGTTAGCAACGCCGTCAGTTTGAGCCCTGAAATAGTTACGCTGAAATAGCTTCTCAAGGCCGTCAGCTTAGGTAGGAGAAAAAAACCTACAATTTCCTTTTTAATAAAAAACAAATATAACAAAATGTTGATTACCGCTGAATTAGTGTGATTGGTCGCATTAGATCGCCACGTGCGTCGCTCCCACGAGGAATTAGCTTCATACAAAATGCATAAGCCACTATAGAGGTCATTGTACTCGACATGAACTACTGCGAATCATTTATTCAATAATTTTCCCGGAAAAACTAACCGAGTGACATTACTGCTTGATTTGTCAAAGCTTTTATGATAGCTTTAGTCGTTACATAAAACAGGTGAGACGAAATAAGGCTCATTCGACTGGTGGTCAAGAGGTTACTCTTGTGAGTCCGCACGGGTAGATACCACTACCCCGCCTATTTCTGCCGTGAAGCAGTAACGCGTTTCGGTTTGAAGGGTGGGGCAGCCGTTGTAACTATACTGAGACGTTAGAACTTATATCTCAAGGGGAGTGGCGCATGTACTGTTCTGCTAACCACTTAACACCAGGTGGATTGTGAGCTCGTCCACCGATCTAAGCAATAAAAAAAAGCTAGCTGTCCCCTCTTCAGCTCTGACCAGTCTGAAGTAGCTGCTGTTACGTCAGCAGGCCACGTCTACTTTTTAGGCTTTCTTTCCTTAGAATATATAATATATTTATTTTGTCTCTCTATCTCGCTCTCTCTGGCTCCTACAGTGTGATACAGACATTAGGCTCGCACTGAGTCAGATATACGAAACGTAACTGACTATGAGAGAAAGAGAGAAAGAAAATGTTTTGTCCCACCTTTCTCTCTTGCCCCTACAGTAATATACGAAACATAACTCTCTCTCTTTCTGTCTCCACTATCTTATATCACTCTCTCAACTTCCGTTCGTCTGGCCGATCACATTTTTCGTAACGCTGTCGCCACGCTTTCACCAGATCTCTCCACAAGTCAAGCGTGCGTATAAAAGTTTTACCTCAACAAATTCATCACCAATTGAGAGCTTCGGTAAATGTACACTAAAAATGTACATATTAAATGTCACTTCGATTCAATAAACGGCAATGCAAACAATGAAATAATACAATGAAATTAACTTCATAATAATTTCGGCCTGAATGTTGACAAATGGCAGGGTAATTGCGCTGTATCTAGAACATTCATTTATTATTTAATTGGCTGGCTACTTTTATAACTTCGTGTATTTATATAGGCAATGTAGACGAGAATTGAATAATATGGTATATTTATTGAATCAATGTGTCATTACGTATAATTATGATGTAGCGTTTAATATTGAATTTTATTTAAATAAATGTAATTTTCTTCCATACTACTAGTGGTAGGGCGTCTTGTGAGCTCATACGAGTAGGTACACCACCATACTGCCTATTTCTGATGTCAAGCAGTAATGCGTTTCGGCTTGAATGGTGCGGCAGCCGTTGTACTGTAATACTGTATTGAAGTTGTCGTGGCCTATAGGATAAGACGTCCGGTGCATTCGTATCATGCGATGCACCGGTGTTCGAATCACAGGTGGGTACCAATTTTTCGAATGAAATACGTACTCAACAATTGTTCACGATTGGCTTCCACGGTGAAGGAATAACATCGTGTAATAAAAATCAAACCCGCAAAATTATAATTTGCGTAATTACTGGTTGTAGGACCTCTTGTGAGTCCGCACGGTAGGTATTCTGCCTATTTCGGATGTCAAGCAGTAATGCGTTTCGGCTTGAAGGGTTCGGCAGCCATTGTACTGTAAAAACTGACACTTGGAACTCATATCTCAAGGTGGGTGGCGACATTTACATTGTAGATGTCTATGAGTTCCGATAACCAGTTGATATCAGATGGGCCATGCGCTCGTCTATTTAAGCAATAAGAAAAAGCTATCTAGAATCACGGCAGTAATCCGCTATGTGATTCAGAGATCATTCACGGGTTTATCAAGTACCATGTGGTTTTGTTATCTTAGAAGTGTGAACAGGCTTACTGCCTACCTGAACCAAATATTGTGCTTATATTATTATACTAGCTTACCCGGCAGACTTCGTAGTGCCTCAATCGATAAATAAAAGACCTAAACTTTTGTATAAAATAAACTTAAAACAAACAAAACGAATCCGTCCGACGGGGGACACATCAAAGGGAAAACAAAATTGTTATTTTTATTTAATTTCGAGCATTTTCATATTTATCTACCTTTTAAACCTTGTCTAGACTTCCACAAATAATTCAAGACCAAAATTAGGAAATTCGGTCCAGCCGTCTTCGAGTTTTAGCGAGACTAACGAACAGCAATTCATTTTTATATATTTTATATAGAAGATAGAAGAATAGAAGAAACACGCGCCTAGGGCGCAATATCTTCATAGCTCTAACCAATGCATCAGTCAGCTGAGTTTCTCGCCGGATCTTCTCGGCGGGTCGCGATTCCGATCCGGTGGTAGATTCATTCGCGAAGCAATTGCTCTTGAGTTGTTAAGTCCTCTTCGGAGGCGCTCGGGCAGCGGTTAGCAAATCCCGCCCCTCGTGGCTGAGCCTTTGCTCGCCCACCGTTCCTGGTGAAACTGGAAAGACCTCTGGGCCAACAGTGGTCTTTCAATCATAGAAAAAAACCTTCTTAGCACCCAACCCCTTTCCTTTTTATTTACGACTTAACATTCATTATAGCATTCAGCATATTCACTGCTACAAAATTTAAAATAGATTTTCCAGAAATCAATTATAAATATATATTTTTTTTATTGCTTAGATGGGTGGACAAGCTCACAGCCCACCTGGTGTTAAGTGGTTACTGGAGCCCATAGACATCTACAACGTAAATGCGCCCCCCACCTTGAGATATAAGTTCTTAGGTCTCAGTATAGTTACAACGGCTACCCCACCCTTCGAACCGAAACGCATTACTGCTTCACGGCGGAAATAGGCGGGGTGGTGGTACCTATCCGTGCGGACTCCCAAGAGGTCCTACCACTAGTGATTACGCAAATTATAATTTTGCGGGTTTGATTTTTATTACACGATGTTATTCCTTCACCGTGGAAGTCAATCGTGAACATTTGTTGAGTACGTATTTCATTAGAAAAATTGGTACCCGCCTGCGGGATTCTAACACCGGTGCATCGCTAGATACGAATGCACCGGACGTCTTATCCTTTAGGCCACGACGACTTCAAATTTAAATTAAAATAAAATTAAAATTAAAATAAAAATTAGCAATTTTTTGTTTTGCGGACCATTTGGCGCCCCTTTGCGAGTAGCGCTCGAAGTACGATGCCCCCCATTGCCCCCCTCGCCACACCACTGTGTCCCTGACATTGCCAATGTCCACGCAACCGGAGCCCGTTTGCCGATGGCAATAACAAAAAAATCTAGTTTTTAAACAAATTCCGTTTTAATTACAGAAATTATTGGAAACTGAAGAATGAAGGGATCCATGAGTGCGGGATCTCGAATTGCTGCCTACGTACTCATCATCACCAATGTTATTGCCATGGTAATTTGTCGGATACGTTTCGTGTAATCACTAAGAGCTCGTGCATTAGAGCATCGGTAATGTTTGAAGAATAGTTCAATGTCTGTTTTGCCGAACATGCCGAATGCAAATAGCTATTTTGTCTTACTTCTTGATGTAGACAGAAGGGCAGATCAGCAAGATGAAGAAGAGAGTAACGCCAATACCACAGCCATACCTCTGTTTCTTCATAACGACGATTTTCAAACCTCCTTTGTAAACGGGCTGTCATTTTTTTATTTATTGCTTAGATGGTGGGACGAGCTCATAGCCCACAAGAACTGGTGTTAAGTATTTACTGGAGCCCAAAGACATCTACGACGTAAATGCGTCACCCACCTTGAGATATAAGTTCTAAGGTCTCAAGTATAGTTACAACGGCTGCCCCACCCTTCAAACCGAAACGCATTACTGCTTCACGGCAGAAATAAGCAGGGTGGTGGTACCTACCCACGCGGACTCACGAGAGGTCCTACCGCCAGTAAAAAAGTCATAGTGCTCGAGGAACACCGTGGCGGGAGTTCATGCCAGTTTCGGATGATACATGGCGGAATAGATCTATATATAAAGCTGCAATTCTAGGTAGTCTGGATGAGCTTTGGTCCGCTGGCGATCGGCACGCTTACTTCCTCAGACGTAAAATTTCCAAAAAGCCTTCCTCGCTGGATGCATGCGAATTAAAAGGCATCAACTGCCGAAATTACAAGTTTGTATCATGGACTGTTGAAGTATCCCATCAGTCTCCCAATATCGGCGGACCGCCAAGACCCTCCAAGAGGCCATGCATGAGTTTCGCCGCCATGGACGAAAAAAAAAGCGCTAATGAATTAGTTAGGGCAATATTGTTCCCTAATTTCCATTCCTTAGACACGCGGTTCGCTCCCAATATAGACCAGTCTCACATACCCCCGAAACCCCTAGGCGACAGGATCTAATAGGAGATTCCGCCACTGAAAAGGGAAAGATCGGTAATATAAGCATACAACAGTGGGTTGGATGTGTGGTAGTGCACCAGTTGGATCGTGAATCTCTTTAACACGCTCTTATTAGCTTGGTATTTAAGTTTGTTTGTACGTAACAAAATCTTTGAGCGTTTATTTAACAGACTTCGAGACGTCTGATCAACTTGACAATTCGCAGGCGCTTCAAGGACTGATGACGTCACAATTATTTTATAACTTTACTCTAATATCCTGACCCCGATATCGACAGGATCATGTTTGTTTTGTTTTTAAGCGACATTTCTTTTTTGGAATCGATTTTTCTAAACGATCTTCATGGTTGGCTCAGATCTGCGATTTCTGTGAGCGTGTAGCTTCGACGACGTGAAATAATATCACCAACTACAATCTTAAATTAAATAAAGAGCGATATAATACACAAGAATATACAAGTTAATAGCGTAGGTCTAACCCCCGATTCCGATAGTAGATTCATCCGCGAAGCAACTGCTCTCGAGCTGATAGGGCTCCTTCGGAGGCGCTCGGGCGGCTGTTAGCTAATCCCACCCCTCCTGGCTGAGCCTTTGCTCGCCCACCTGTCCCGGCGAAAATAGAAAAGCCTCAGGGCCAACAGTAATCTTTCAATCATAAAAAAGGTCTAACCCGAACTCATCCGAACAAAAGGCCTTGCGAGTACCGTCGAATATTCTATATAGTCTGATGCTCCAGCACAGGGCCACACTCAGCGCAGGGCCATTGTCAGTGCAGGGCCGCACTCAGGCTCGTCAAAAACAATTGTAAACGCACCAGCATCGATTCCATTTCAGATAACTTGCGTGATATTCTTTGCGCTTGGATTATGGACCATAGCGTCTCCGTCTACGTTGGCTACTTCAATAGCGACCATCGGAAGTCCTGTTCTGACTGTGAGTATTTCGTATATGTATAACACTGATATGATTTATATATACATATATTGTATTTTTTTTAATTGCTTCTATAAGCAAAAGCATACGGCCCATATCACGGTGAATGGTACCGGGGTTCATGGAAGTCAGCAATGCTAGGTGTAAAGCGAAACTGCTGCCTATTTCTGAGTGTTCTCCGCGAGCCTTGCTTGAAGAAAGATATGTCATAACGGTCGGGAAGCAGCATGGAGAGGAGCTCATTCCAAAGCCGGATGGTACGCGACAGAAAAGTTGTCTGGCGGATGAACTCTAAATTAGTCCCTAAATTAAGATACTAAAATATACTCTTATTGTGGCCAATAAGTGTGTCTGCTTTAATAAATACGACGATGAATAAACCGGCCCAAATCCAGAATGTAAGACTTGCTTGTCTTCTCTAAAGATAAACCGAGATAAGTCCCAAGATAGTGAATTAATGGAACTTTAAAAGCGGACATATCTAGTATAATTTAACGAAGTGTCTGTGTATCTTGTGGATCTTTCTATAGTACTTAGTACCCCAAAAGCTTTTGAGGTTGTAGGGGCCACGGTCCTGCTATATGAGGTCGAAGTCTCATGTCACATGACGGTCAACGTCTAAAGACTCTGAATTTAGTGTTTAATTTCGTTGTTTCCTTTCGCGTGCCGACAGAATATCGATCTTAGGACGTAGTCGTCACTAGATGGTACGGATTGAAACGTATTGTGCATACCTATACGCTAGTAGCCTTCCTTAGCTTCAAGCGAACGGGTAAGTGAGCTCACGGACTCAACCTGAGCGAATTTGCTAACACTAGCAAGCCTTAGCAAGAGCAGTGCTTCGATTTGAATCGCGACCCACTGAAGAGGTCAGACCAGGAACTCAATTGGCTGTTTCTATGGGAGCATTTCGTCTCCACATGTCATATTACACACCCAATTTTAAAACAATCTTCACTATTTTTAATCTCGCCTTTTTTCTGTGTAAAGTTATTTTTAATTCCGAAGAGCCTTTGGGCTTGCGGGTCATGTGGTGTTGAGTGATTACCGTGGCCCGTTACTGTCGCAACTGATGCGTAGTCACCAAGGGACTTATGTGTCGGAGACGGTCATTAGTTTGGTAGCTAAACGAAACGCAGCACGGTTCCCGAGAGATGGCAGCACGATCGCGGTATCGTCGGAACTCGGCTAACTTCGTGCTACGACAGAGCCTAGCCGATGGAGGCGTGTAGACGCCATCACACTTGCCAACCAGCCTTCTTGAAGAGCGGTGTCTCCACCCTAAGAACTGTCATTCGTTTTCGTTTGCTAACGTCAAGAGAAGATTTCTAAATAGTTCTAAGACAACAAACGTGATTGGGGTGTACTCAATATTTCTCTTAACTCGATCACCCTATTCGCCCCTACGATGTCTGACGATGGTGTTAATAATAATATGGCTTCTAATAGGAACTCTTAGACCTTGAGAAATCAACGAACCCTTCTGGTAATTGTTCAGGTATTATTCCCCAAAGAAGAATTAAGCCTGTCTTTGGGTCTTGGCGCAGCGTTCCTGTCGATGCTCCTATTCTTCATATCCTTCATGGGGTTCCATGGGGCTTCGACGAGATCTCAATTCTCACTATTCATGGTGAGTGCTAGTGTTAGTATTTATGGTGGTTATTGTCGGGCTGATGGTGCCGCTGACTGCTGGGCCCAGGGTTGCTGGCTACCACCACCGCATCAGGGAGACCTTTGTGCGACGTACAGTTTTGCTTGCTCTTAACGCGTTCTTTTTTTTTATTGCCCTTGCAGGCAGACGAGCATACGGCCCACCTGATGGTGAGTTGTTACCGTCGCCCATGGTCTTCAGCAATGCCAGGGGCAGAGCCAAGCCGCTGCCTACCGCTTAATACTCTCCACAAGCCTCGTTTGAAGAAGGACATGTCATAGCGCTCGGGAAACACCGTGGAGGGGAGCTCATTCCATAGCCGGATGGTACGTGGCAAAAAAGACCTCTGGAAACGCACTGCGGATGACCGTGGCTCCAGGTAGTATGGATGAACTCTACTCCGGTGGCGGGCGGTGAGTGCTCAAAATCAAAATATACCGTACTAGCGACCCGCCCTCGCTTCGCTTCGGAAACATTAAATTTTATAATTGATAGCCGAGTCCCGAGATGTTACTCGCGGTTATTGTCATATCGCGGGTGACACCGCGGGGCGAAGCACATTAGAAACCTCAAAAATAACAGTATTTCTCCACTATTTAATGGATGTTATTATACATATAAACCTTCCTCTTCAATCATTCTATCTATTAAAAAAAACCGTATCAAAATCCGTTGCGTAGTTTTAAAGATTTAAGCATACATAGGGATATAAGGCGAATTTACATTACGAAATTAGTGGCATGAAATTAATTTCGTGACATTAGTTTTACCAACAGTTTCACGTGTAATTTAATACTTTCGTAATGCATGCATGCAAATTAGTTTCGTGCCCTGCGCGATTTTTTGGTGAAATTAATGTCATGAACTAATTTCATAGTGTAGACGCGACGTGAAACTAAAGTCGCGAAAGGGCCTGCGCTGTACGGACGTGTGTATTGTTAGTTCGGACGCGCTTCAAGTGTTGAAAATGGCAAACCAACGATGGAGTACAGAAAAAAATATACAATTCATTAATGAATATCAGCAACAAGAGTGTCTCTGGGACCCGAAACACCTACAATATAAAAATAGGGATGCCCGAGATGCGGCCTACAAAATAATTATGGAAGCCATGGAGATGCAATATGTCAAAGAAGTTGTTGGTAAAATACGATCACTTCGAAATACTTACAACAATGAGTTGTTAAAGGCAAAAAAATCTAATACTACGGGTATAGCAACCAATGATCTGTATATTTCTAAAATTCCTTGGCTGTGTCGTTTGGATTTCTTGAAAAATATTGACAGTTACACGAGAGAAAATACAGAAAATGTGGTAAGTATACTTTATTCTACAATATTACAATGGACGTTTCGCTTTTGCCTCCATGCCTTTAAAAAAATCATTCTCTCTTGCCATTCTACACGGCCATGTCCAACAAAGTAGTATAACCTGGTCTTATGAGGGTTACATTTCTAGAATGATTTCTACCCAGATTACGGAGAGTGGAAAAAGCTCCTTGGGTTACCGTCCACCATGAACCTTCCACTAATTCTCCCGTTTCTGGATTTTCTTCATCAATCAAACCCGTTTCTATGTAAGTCGATGAAATAGTTTACAGCAAATTATGCAAGACACATCATGTCTTTATTATTTTGTCCACAGTTTCTGGCAATACCGGGATAGGCTTCACGAATATCCGAAACTTTCTAACTAAGACACCAAAAGTATTTTTTATAATCCTTCCAGCTCTGCTTAATCTGTGGTTGAAAAATGTTTGCTTGTTTGATAAGTCTAATCGACGACTATATGGTGTCAAAAGATATTCGGTTAGGGGGAAAGCATGATCTCCCAACAAAACCATTCCTTCAGGAGCATTCAAGGAGCGTTCCTCCAACATTGTTTTTAAATTTGATCTAGCTAAAATTCCCCCATCAGAAGCACGACCATAATGACCCACGTTAATGTATCTAAATTTTAAATTACTGTCACAGACTGCTAGAAGGACTATACTGAAAGTTCCCTTGTAATTATAGTAATCAGTTCCTGAACGCGCTGGACAACGTATTTGGACATGTTTGCCATCTATAGCACCACCACAGAACGGAAAATTACATTTGTCACTAACACCATCAACTATCTCGCTCCAAGTTTCTTCTATGTTTGCCATCTGTAAAGAAAAAAAGTTCATTAAAAATATAATTAATTGTTTCAGGCACCAAATACCCAGGCAGCTTCTACTTCAGAATCTGAGAGCCAAGATTTTACCGTACCATCCATACCTACAAAAAAGAAAAGAAAAATAAAAGATCCTCCTCTATTGCAGACAGTAGATGCATTAGAAAAAGTTTCAACGCAGCACTTTTCAAATGATGAATTTGATCTTTTTGGACAAACTATAGCTCAACAGCTACGGCAACTTCCTTTAGAAATTGCTTTGAAAACAGAGGAAATAATTTTGTCAACAGTCCGAAGGCAACGAATCAAATTAGCAAAACAATAGACATCAACTCAACAAGTTCGCCTTCCAACTTTATCCTCGGAACCCAATACTTTTGCTTCTACCAGTGGTGTAATAACAGACAGCGAATATCCTTATGATGAGGACTACGATGTACTCGCACGGGCTGTGGCAAGCTTTCATGATACATCTATACCGAAGTCCGAATAGAGCTATGATCAATATTAATTTTTAAATATCCTAAGATGACACCCTGAATTCGTATGATAAAGACTTAAAACTATTTCCAGATGCTAACAAGCGCAGCGTAATTTGAAGTTTAAGTTTTGCCGGTAACGCTTCTCGACATATCGTATCTTGTTTAGATATTTTGTGGGACACTCTTGCCAGTAAAAAATTAAAATTATCTTGACTCATTCTATAATAGTTTTTATAGCTCTCAGGATCTTCATCTGCTAATTCAGAGACTAGCTTCATTGCACCTAAATTTCTTGTTAACCATCCTCGAATCCACCAACGTCTTTTTTTTTCTTGATTGTCTTTTTTTAAGTTTATCTAAAAGCATTTCTTTAGCTACATTGAATATAGCAAAATATAGCTTTGGTGCTGACGGCGCCATGGTTACTGCGATACTGTGGATTTCGCGACATTAATTTTTTTACGAAATTACTTTCGCATATATCGAAACTACTTTCGTGAAACTGAGCTCAACATGCATGACACTAATTTCGTAATGTAAACTCCGCAATAGGGACAGAGAAAGCGACTTTGTTTTATATTATGTAGTGATATTAATTTAAATGTATAAAGTTTATGTTTTCTCAATTTATGGTTATTGTAATAAAGGAAATTCTGATTTAGGGTCACATGATGGTCAGATGGTCAGATAGAGATGATGACCATGTGTGAATTATTAAGATCCTCAAGACTACACCATATTATTTCTTTTATTGCTTATTTGGGTGGACGAGCTCACAGCTTACCTGGTGTTAAGTGGTTACTGGAGCCCATAGACATCTAAATTGTAAATGCGCCACCTTTGGGGTGTTTACGACAAAGGGAAGATCTTCCACCGAGCGGGTGATATTGCTCGGTAGACCGACGGTCCAAATGTTGTTGTTCGGAACTTGTATATATGCGCTTTATCTTGAAAATGTCGTAAGCGAGATTCAGGCATCTGTCAATTATCTTGCGTTGTATGATGGCTACCCGCCACATCACTCCCCTCCGAGACTGGAGGTCGTGTCATATTTTAGTTATCGTTGTCCGTGCTGAGATTAGCTTGCAAGTGCCAGTGCTGCTCGAAGTTTGCGGTGAGTCGAAACTGAGCTTGAATGCTGCGTGATTGTCGCCAGTGCTGCTCGAAGTCTGCGGTGAGTCGAGACTGAGCTTGAATGCTGTGCGATGAGGCAGTGTAGGTGCGTGCCGTAGGGCCAGGAAGCGCGGTGAGTCGGCTGCGATGGTCCTGTTGAGGCTGCGATGCTGGCTTGCTGTGGGATGACTGTCGATGACTTGCTTTTATCTGCGAGAATGCGGGGATTGTGGTAGCCGAAGTTCTTGATGCGCTGATGATGAATCAGAAGGTTGCGATTGATCACGTCGGGGTCACCAGTTTGGGGATATACGACAAGGGAAGATCTTCCACCGAGCGGGTGATATTGCTCGGTAGACCGACGGTCCAAATGTTGTTGTTCGGAACTTGTATATATGCGCTTTATCTTGAAAATGTCGTAAGCGAGATTCAGGCATCTGTCAATTATCTTGCGTTGTATGATGGCTACCCGCCACACCACCCACCTTGAGATATAATTTCTAAGGTCTCAGTATAGTTACAACGGCTGCCCCGCCCTTTAAACCGAAAGGCATTACTGCTTCACGGCAGAAATAGGCGGGGTAGTACTGTGGTACCCACCCGTGCGGTAGAGGTCCTACCACCAGTAAAAATAGATTCGAAATGGAGTTTAATTTTTTTTCGAATACCCGCAATTGAACACAAAAATTGCCGACAGAGGCATCCTCGCGTCCCATCAGAGCGTTGACCCCACGCCTCAGACGTATTTCTTTACGTACAAGATAATTTCTTTTTTCATAATTCAAAGTTTCATCAGTTCTAGTAACATCACTTTTTTTTTTAAAAGAGGTTTTTATGTTAAATTGTTTTTAACTAACTTTGATTGTCTAGGCAAAAAGTAATACATCGTAATTTTCAACCGACTTTGAAGAAGTTCGATTATCTTGAAAATTTACAGACTCATTAAGAAGCGATGAGAACACAATAATTTTTGTAGCTTTAGTTTGAAATATAGAGACGAATCACATTAATAAAATTGCCTTGCTATTTAAGAATGTGTAGCGCGCAACACTCGGCCGCACTCGGGCGTCATCGGATGCGATCGGAGTTCCCGAACGCGCAGGTGTCCCGTGACGTCACGCGACGAGATTCGCGCGCGTCGATTTATAATTTTATTGTAAAAACATAATTTTAGTTTCAATTCGTATCTTGTAGTGCCTAGCGTTGTTTATTATTTTTTAATTTATATTATAACATTGTACACATTATAGATATTGTTAACGAATCAACGTCGCGTCATACATTGATGGCTGTGATTGGCCAACGATGACGTCATATCGCACGAACCAATCACAAAACAGGAAACGCAACAGTGGCACCAATTGTCAAAATTTAAAATTATTATAACACGAAGAAAAAAGATGGACGCGCATTTCAATTCTGTATTTGTAAATTAATTAAAAATAATATAATGAGTATTTGAAGAAGTAAACGCATTTATTCATTTTCTTGGCCACCTCAAGATACATCTAAGAAATAGACGCAACATTTCTATGGGACCTTCAGCACCGGATCACCAATTAAGTTGAACCAGACGCTTACTTGAGAGACGCATCGGCCATTGAAAAGGAAAATTCGGAAAATCTCACCAGCTTCGCAAGATTACAGTGCTTTGGCAAGGCGTGCTAACCAAAATTTGCTAAATTTTTTCCCCTTCGCGTATATAGTAGTACTCTGCTTTCTTCAAACCCTTTTTGTTTTTCATTTTGCGTACGTACTTTGTTGTTTTATTATTTAAAAACTGTAAGTACACCACCATTTACTTGTTTCCACAATGACTACATCAGATCATAAGGTAGAATTATTGATGAAAGATCTTACAAAAAAACGCGCATCTATTAAATGTCGTTTGACTAACTTTGGAAAATACGTGAATTCATTCGAAGGTGTAGAATTAACTATTCATCAACGTACCGAGCTAAAACTGCGGATGGCAGGATCGCAAAGTTTAATGAATGATTTTAACCTCGTTCAGACTCAAATAGAAGACATTAGTGTTGAAATTGATATTGAAAAACAGTTAGAATCGCGTGAAGATTTCGAGCAAAAATATTATAATATTCTTGCCCTTGCTGAATGTCTGACCACCGCTGATGAAAAGTCAAAAGGTATGATGTCTGAACCACCGATTACAAGTTCCAAAAGTATTAAATTACCCACTATATCTGTCCCCACCTTTGACGGCTTATATGAGCACTGGTTAGAGTTCCGCGATACGTTTTTGTCACTGATACATAATAGTGAAACAATTACAGAAATTCAAAAATTTCATTATTTAAAATCGTCTTTGTCCGGTAACGCTAAATCGGTCATAGATTCCATAGAATTCTCTGCTAATAATTATAAAGTTGCTTGGGAACTACTGTTAAATCGATTTGATAATACGAAACTATTAGTACATAACCATATCAAATCCATGTTTACCATGCAATCGTTGACTAAAGAATCACCAGTGCAATTACGCAGATTAATTGATAATATTTTAAAAAACCTCCGCGCTTTAAAGCTTTTAGGGGAACCTACAGAGTATTGGGATACATTAATCATTTACATTATTGTCACAAAATTAGATTCCATTACCGAACGGGAATGGGAACAGCATAAGTGTAGTTTAATTACATCAACCAATAACACCAAAACTGTAGTTCAACTAAATGACTTACTTCAGTTTCTTAGAAATAGGGCGGATATTTTGGAAACACTTATAGTATCACACAGTAAAGCAGGCGTATATAGCGCGACAGATAATAATAAAAAGCAATTCAGTAACCAGTTACCATCTAAATTTCATTGCAATATAGTTTCAAATAAACCAAATAGTAATAAATCAAAAGGAAAGAATGCACGTAATTACAGACCCTGCATAATGTGTAATGATTTACATCCGCTATATTCATGTCAAAAGTTTTTGGACCATAGTGTACAAAATAGATTAAAATTTATCCAAACTAAACAGTTGTGCCCTAATTGCATGCGTCCAGGACATACTGTTGACACCTGTGTGTTCGGGCCGTGTCGAAAATGTGATAAAAAACATAATTCATTAATTTGCGATGTAATTAAATATTATGATCATAGTTTCCCTAAAGTTACGTTGCCATCTTGTGAACAATCAGCCGTCCCGTCTAATACGAAAGATAACTCGCACGCACACTCTTTTCAGGCGCAATCTACTGACACAATTGATAACATGCATCCAGCGCAACCAGTTTTGCTGTCCACAGCTATTGTAGAAATACGTAGCCAGTCGGGTGTTTACCATCAAGCGCGCGCTCTACTCGATAGTGGCAGCGAACGTTCATTCATCACACAAACACTTTGTGACAAATTAAATTCACCAATATTACAGTCCACTCAAGAAATTCACGGCGTAGGTAATACAATAACACAGTGTTCGCAATCCTGTGATATTGAGATCAAATCACGCACTGGTAGTTATGCTGCACGCATTCAGTGTTTAATTCTACCACAAATAACATCAAACTTACCTATGAAGACATATAACGTTAATTTGTTTACCGTACCGGATAACATTGTACTTGCAGATCCGACGTTTTATGATAGTCAGCCGATTGATTTATTAATAGGCGCGGATTTGTTTTGGGAATTAGTTAGAGAAGGTAAAATACGACTTAAAAATGGCCCCTATCTCCAAAATACGCATCTTGGTTGGATAATCTCGGGCTCATTTCAATCTATTACACGCAAACAAAGACATGTTAGCTGTAACTTTACGCAAACCGTTGACAGTGACACATGCTCATTAGATCAATTATTACGAAGTTTTTGGGAAATCGAAGAATTACCAATTAATTTTCCTAAGTTAAGCTACGAGGAGCGCGCCTGTGAGGAGCACTTTATTAAAACAACCTCACGGACGGCCGACGGGCGGTTTAAGGTTCGATTTCCGTTCAAGCACTCTCCGAAGTTACTAGGTGACACGCGCACACAAGCTGAACGT